CGCCCACCCTTCCGCCCCCTATAACTTTTTTTCTTTCTGAGTTATTCAAAAAAGCCCCCACAATATATATATGTTTTTGCTAGCAAACTAGCAAACAAGAGAATATAAAAAAGGAATAAAAAGATTGGCCCACCACACACCCCGCCTCACAAGTGCGTGTAGGTTTGGGTGTTTAATATTTTGTGCGTAGGGGAAGGGGGTGGGTGAAACTATCGAGCGTGGCACAGAAAACAGATGCCCCATTTTTTCTGCCCCCTGATTTGTGAAAGAGGTGTTCTTCTGATTTATCGTGCTACACGCCATGCACTCTCACACGTATATATATATACAGAAGACCAGCCACCCACACACACACACACACACACACACACACACGCACACACACACACACACACACACACACACACGCACGCACGCACCTGCTGCGTTTATCAGACACGACGGATGACTTCTTTGCGTCGTTTGAGGACAGCCGGTCCAACATTCCGTCCGCCGTCAGCGCGTTTGGAAACTCGTCGTCATCGTCTTCGTCAAAGCCAAAGCGCTCGGCCCCGCCCACGTCCGCACCACCACCAGCTGATATGGGTACGTGAGCGTGTGTGTGTGTGTGTGTGTGTGTGTGTGTGTGTGTGTGCATGTGTGTGTGTGTGTGTGTGTGTGTGTGTGTGTGTGTGTGTGTGTGTTCATGTGTGTGTTCATGTGTGTGTGTGTGTGTTCATGTGTGTGTGTGGTTTTTCTGCCTCCGCTTCCCCTCCTGTATCTGCGCTCCTGCCTCAACGTTTCGCTCGTGATGCGCCACCATAACGCAACCTTGACTGTGTGACATGTGTTCGTGTTTCTTCCCATCTGCACCGCTGCCGCCTCCTCATCGCCCCTGCCCCGCATCCCCGCACGTATCGCGTCCCAGGCCGGTTTGCCAACGCCAAGTCCATCTCCTCCGATCAGTACTTCCGCAGCGACCAGGTACAGTGGTGGTGGTGGTGGTGGTGGCGACAGCGTGGAGGTGGCGACAGCGTGGAGGTCATGGTGACACACAGGAGGTGCCAACAATACTATTCGTGAAAATACAGTTTCACACACTCACACTCACACACTCACACACTAACGCGCTCCCACTCTCTCATGTGCCCTCACGCTTACACACACACACGCACATGTGCACTCACGCACGCACATGCTCACGCCCACACACGCACATATATACGCGCTCCGTTCGTCCGCCTCCTCCGTCAGCCAACTCCCGAGGAGCAGGCACGGCTGTCGCAGTTCAGCGGGCAGGCGTCCATCTCCTCGGACATGTACTTTGGCCGCGGCCAGCAGTCGTCGTCGTCGTCGTCCGGTGGTGGTGGCGGCGGTCGCCAGACGCGCGAGAAGCTGAGGGAGTTTGCATCCAACCTCGTCGACAAGCTGCAGGGACAGATACGGCTAAGCAAATCGCCCCAATAACAACACGCACTCACACACTCACGCACGTACGAACACACGCACGTACGAACACACGAATGAATTGATTCGCCATCCATGCACAACACATGCACGTACAACATACAACACGCACGTCTGTATG